CAGCTCCAAAAGTCACAGTGAAATTTTCCATTTTGCTGTGTTTCTTAGGTTACCGTGTTCACTGACTCTAGAAAAGGGACTGAGTTACACTGAAGAATGGGAGGGCTGTAGACACCCCAGGAGCTGTGCAGCCATAAAAGTGGCACTGATGGATAGCTGGGCTCTCGAAAAGAAAGCCCCCTCCAAATGAGTGATGACTCAAGGGAAAGTTGGTCTTAAATTTTAATTTATGCCTTAGCTGCGAACCACCTCTGAGTAAAAGAACAGTGAGTGATTATAACTACCCTTCAGATGCATTTTTTTAAAGAACTTCATAAAGAAAATACCATTAAAATATTCAGTAAGCTGGTGCAACAACCCTTGTGGAAGCACAGTGCATTTACAGACGCACAGTGTGACTTCTATTAGCTTTCTACTAGCACAGTTTAGCTGCCTCAGTAATACTGGCTACATTTAGACTGCTTATTATTTCTCCATGTGTGGTAAAGAAAACACCTTTTGCTTATCAAAGCAAAGACTGTTGACAATGAACAATGACCTGCATGAGACAAACATACAGCAACTTAGAAATTGTTAAAATATTTAATTGTTTTGTGTAGAACAAGGACCATTCTCACTGCGTTTCTTAAACTCACATCTTACACATGACGGTATTCAATGCGTACCTGAGCATTAGGGATAATCTAGGATTTGACTTAAGAACAACTGAACCATCAAGCCAGTTGATTTAGCCCAAGAAAACTGTTTGGAAAGAAGTGCTGTTTCTGAGGATGTCTTGTTCCCTATTGTTCCTTCTTAAAAGCAACTTTAAGTATGAGATTATTACTACTTATTGCATTACTTCTTCAGTTTTTCTTAAAGTGAATATCATTACAAGAAGTTATATGCTTGTATCTGCCCAATATTTAAATGCTGCTATAAATGATGCTTTTGTGAAAGCTAATGTTTGTAAATAAAAATAAAATTGTAACAAAAAACTACGTACGTGATACTTTGTATTAGTGATGGCTTAATCTGATTTATACTACAGCAAAAGTTCTAAGTAGCTAACTCAGAAGCTTTCTTAATGCTTAAACCTAAACCTAACTTGAAATCACTGAAGTTGCTACATAATTTAGTCTGTAATGTACACTTATTATACATGAATTTTGATCACTTAAGTGTGAATGCACCTCCATAAAAAGAGCCAGTATAAATGTATATGAAAAATCTTACCCACTTTTGTTCCTTGTAAGACACACTGTTTCATTATTATTGCAGACTGCCAGCTCTTAAGATATTATTGAGACTCCTATATTTGGTGTTGCTTTTACATTACCAAAGGAATGTGCTAGGATGAAAACTATCAATTACATTAAAACACTACCTTCTTTTCGTTTCTCCTCAGCAAGGTAAATCCTACTGTGTATACTCCTAACATAGCCATGAAGGTGCCAATGGGGTTGTGCTTTTGCACCTAGGGATAATTTGGTCCACTGGGCATAGTTTGCCCCACCAGACACCAACATTTGAGTACATCATGAGGTGCTCCAACACTTGAGCATGGTGAGAACAAAAGGCGAGGAATGGAAACGCATCAGTGGGCAAATTCAAAGGTGGGCAATTCAAAGACATTTTTTGTTGTATTTTTTGCAGCGAACCTAACTAGAGATGATAATTATATCGGAGAACGATCTAGGGATTATTCCCTTATATTTTAATGTTGGCCCATCTTTTTTTTTGTCTCCTTCTCCATTTGTGACCTCTTCTCAGCCTGCAGACTTGGGTGGCTGAGGCGCTGGGGAGTGGAGGTGACTAACCAGGAGGCTGAACTTGGCTGCTGCCAGCTGGTGTAAACTGCCCTGTTTTCTCATCAGCATGGCTGCAGCTGCTGCTGCAGGGAAAAACAGCCTTTAAAGCTATTCTCCTCCCCTAAATGAACCATGTGAATAACCAACTGGATGAAAGCCTAACAGATAACTCCTCCTCACCACTCACTACAGTGCACAAACTGCAGTACAGGATTTTTATACATTCAGAGTTCATGACTCCCACTTATGTCAACAGCTTTGACTTTCTCTTGGACATCTAAGAACAACTGTCGAACTGCTGGCACCAAGGTTTATAAATACCAGCTGCAGTTCATAAACACTGAATTAAGAGTAATTACTGGCCTAACGAACATCAAACGGGAAAGAATGAAGAGATGCAGGCAAGAGATAATTCAGCAAATGAGATGAAAAAGGTGGAGGACAAGTGAGTAATAGAATGCCATTGGCAAGCAAGGTGGAGGAGAGCCCACAAAACATGCCAGTGCATTTGAACCTCCCTTCGTGCTGTACCCTGCTCTGAACAACCAAGCTTTTCCTTGAACTTAGGAGCACAGGTCCAGAAGGGACCCAGCTAAGTCACTGAATTGAGTCCTCCTTATCATAGGCAGACACATTTCATTAATAAAGCTCAAGCCTTAAAAACGAGCTGGTTTTCTTGCCCTTGCTACTCCTCTTGAAAGGCAAGATTTGTCTGACAGAGCTATCCGGTGGTTTTGTGAAGTGTGAATGAGACTAAGGCCAGGCAAGCAAAAAGAAACGAGTCAGAGACTGCTTTCATGGGACAAAGGTGTCATTG